AACTTAATCCAAGCAATATAGGTCAGGAGAATAAAGTTTGGAGTACAGTAAGTGTGGTAGCTCACACCTGGAATCCTAGCGCTCCAGAGTCTGAAGCAGGAGGGACAGGAGTTCAAAATCAATGTTGTCTGCATAGTGAGTTCAAGGCCAGCCTTCACTGTATGAGATCCTGTCTCAAAACAAAACAGAAATATGGAATGAAAATAAATCCTTGTATCTCTCACCAATTTGTTTTTCGAGAAGGTTGCCAGTTATTCAATGGGGAGAGTAGCCTTTTTTTTTTTTTTTTTTTTAGTGATTTTAGTTATTTTAGTGATTCTTTGTGAATTCACATCATGCACCCCAATCTCATGCATCTACCCATCCCTCCATACCCACCCCCTGCCCTTGCAACCTCCCCCCACAAAAACAAAACAAACAAAAATCTTACCATGAACTTATTAATGATTTATTTTACAAGTATGTTTTGCTTCACGTGTATGCCTGTATTGTATTTGTCCTGGAACTGGAGTTGTACACGATGGTGAACTGCCCTCAGGATGCTGGGAATTGAAGTCAGGTCCTTTATAAGAACAAGTGCTCTTAACCACTGAGTCATGTCTCCTGTCCAAAAGTCGTCTTCTCAATAAACAGTGCTAGAACAACTGAACACTCAGTGTAAGAGAAGTAAACACAGCTGGTGGCACACACCTTTAATCCCAGCACTCAGGAAGCAGAGGCAGTGGATCTCTGTGAGTTCTAGGCCAGCCTTATCTACAGAGTGAGTTCCAGGACAGCCAGGGCTGAGCAGTGAAACCCTGTCTCAACAAAACAAAACAACCAAAGAAGGGTTTCTATTGTCTGGCAATATGCTCAGATAAGGGTCTATGTTGTTTTTAAACAAAGTCTCAAACATTCTATTTTACCAATAAAGACTTAAGAGCCAGATGCTGGGGTGAAAGCCTGCAAGCTCAGAGAAGCAGAGGAAGTACCCAGCCTCTCCATTCTCTTATGTCATTTCCAAATTCTCCTCAAACTGAATGTCCCTCCCTCCTACTCCCTGTGCATCTCTGTCCTCCTGACTCCCCCTTACTCTCTATGGTTTTTCTTAATCATCCTGAGTTCCCTTCCTGTCAGTGATTGCTTGCTCTGCCTCTTGACCTATGCTTGACTTAACCTTGGGTTAAGCTCTTGGGTTAAAGGTGCATACTAGGGCTGAGCCTCATCACAACTAGAAACAGGTTTTTCCAGTAAATAACACAATTTTGGGGGTTCACAGTATGATCAAACATCCTGCAACAGGTTGGGAGGAAGGGTCTGGAATAAGCATAACAATAGGTTCCTTTGTAAAGTGCATGGGACCTCTTCCATAAGAATGAGTTCTAGCGTGATGGTGCACACCTTTAAACCCAGCACTCGGAAGGCAGAAGCAGGTGGATCTCTGGGTCTCGTTAGTTCAAAATCAGCCTGGTCCACAGAGTGAGTTCCAGAGTTCTAGGACAGGCTCCAAAGCTACAGAGAAACTCCTCTCAAAAAGAGCACTGGCTGTTCTTCCAAAGGACCTGGGTTCAATTCCCAGCACCCACACTGGCTCACAACCACCTATCATAGGGTCTGATGCCCTCTTCTGGCATGTGGATATACATGCATGCTTTTGTACATAAAATGTAAATAAATAAAAATTTAAAAGAAAACTAATGATTGACAATTTGACTCAGGAATCTGGGGGATTTAGGTGAGGGCTGGCTCTATGTTTCAAGACAGGCTTTCTCTGTGTTACAGTCCTGGAACTTGCTCTGTAGACCAGGTTGGCCTTGAACTCACTGAGATCCTCCTGCCTTTGCCTCCGGAGTGCTGGGATTAAAGGCATGCGCCACCACTGCCTGGGCAGTCCTGGTTTCTCTAGTGCTTATTCTGGGAGCATGAGAACCTCACGTCCTCTACATGAAGCTGTACATGAAACATGAGGACCCCACATCCTCCACAGGGGCCCTACACACCAGAGTACATTGTGTTTCAGCTGCAGTTGAAAACCTTGCCCTCAAAAACCTAAGAAACAGAACACAGTTTGCCTGAACAAGCTCACTGCAGAGTATGTAGTCACCTGAGCAGGCCCTCTACAAGGTATGTAGCCAAGCAACTCTCACTGGGGTCTGAGAGATGCTCGTGTGACTGCACTCTGAACAATATTGCTCACAGCAGTTAAAATTCAGTGTCCATCAGCGGACAAGTGGGCAACCGAAAGACACAAGGGAGCCTCATTCAACCTCGCCGGGGAAGAAAGCTCGACACACTATATGTTCTGTAGACCTTGACTAATATGATAGCATTCTGCCAGGTAAGCACTAAACAGACCACCACACAAAAGGAAATACCATGTAACACAGTTACATGTGCATGCTTTTTTTTTTTTTTTTAACATTTTGTTTATTAACGTAGAGATAGAATTTTATTCTGTAGCCTAAGCTGGCCTCCAAGCTAAAAATGAAATAACAAAATGAAATCATTATCTCATACAATTAATATATGCTAATTTAAATTATTAAAAAACAAACAAAGGCTGATTGGTTATTAGTTCTAAAAGTATGGTCCACATCTAGCTAGCTGTCAATCAAGGGCATCCAGAAGAATGTGACTGGCCCAACTGGGCCTCCGTAGCTGAAGGGGGCTGGCCCTGAAGGGCAGAGCTGCAACTTTGTCTGATACCATGGGCACACTGTAAAGAAAAGGCTAGGACAGGAACACCCAGTAGGGTGAAAAATGGACACCTCCCCTGGGACCTACCAGTCTCCAGCCTGGCCTCAGGTCCCCCTATTCCTTCCTACACTCCCCACCTCGCCCCCATCTTGAGGATATTTCCTCCAGGGTAGTCTAAAGTTCAGGGCTGTGTGCAGTGTAGGCTTGAGGCTTCTCAGCAGCCACAGATGAATGGCCTGAGGTGTGTTCCAGCGGAAGTTGCCTGAGTCAGCTTGTGGCTGTTAGGTGTGGCCAAGGCCATCGACCCGCAGGACCAGTACCCTTACCCTCTTTTCTGCCCTTCCCAGCACCTCAGGAGGTAACTGGCCCTTAGACTCCTACTCCTGGTGTTATATTGCTTGTCCTGAGAACTGTGTTTTATAGAGGATAAACTGCGGGACTCCACAGACACGGTGATGTGTTTGGGGAAAAGCCTCCTCCTAAGGCCCTGGACTCACTACCGAAAATCTCCCACTGGGCCTCCACAGTGAGCTCCTCTCTACCCCAGATGCCTTTGCCTCTGTTCATGCCCACAACACCCTAACTTGGTTTCTTAACCTCGGTCGCCCTGAGCTTTGCAGTCTGTGAAACAGGAATAAAGACTGCCCTATTTTACAAGATGGTGGTAAGGGTTAGAGGAGGAACAGCCTCATTTCCCTCAACGCCTGGCATGTCTGAAGCACCTGCTGCCTTCACTCTGGTTGTCTTATTTTGTCAGGGGTCCAAGGAGTCTGTGGCATGCACCAGGTCCCATGCCACAGCCTAGGGTACTGCACATGTGCCCAGCCTCAAAGCAGTTTACACCTATTTGGAAGGAGGAACCACCAACCAACGAAATACTTCTTTTTTAAAAAAATATTAATTTATGCATTCTCTAATGGATGAGTACTCTATCTGCATGTACTCCTGCATGATAGAAGATGCCACGTCGATGGGAATTGAACTCAAAACTCTGGAAGAGCAACCTGTGCTCTTAGTTGCTGAGCCATCTTTCCAGTCCAATAAAGAAGTCTGTAAACATGAAACTTGGAGTAAGGGCGTGCGGGTGTGGTGTGCGCAGGAGTTTTCAAGTGTGTGTGTGTGCACCTCTGGAGGCCGAGGTCCCCATGGAGTGTTTTCCTCAACCATTCTCCATCCTTTTCCTTTGTTTGGTTTGAAACAGGGCTCCTCTGTGTAGCCCTGGCTGTCCTAGAACTCACTCTGTAGACCAAGCTGGACTTGAACTCAGAGATTCGTCTGCCTCTGTCTTCTGAATGCTGAGATTAAAGGCATATGCCACCATCACCTGGCACCATCTTATTTGTCTTAAATGGGTTCACTGAACCTGGAGCTCACCAATTCAGCTAGATCCACCTCCCGAGATGTAGGATTACAAGCATATGCTGCCACACCCATCGCTTCTGTGTGGGTGCTGGGGATCCTTTCTTCCAAGGGTTAGTACAGACCAAGCCATCTCCTCAGCCTTTATTGGGGCTGTGAGCTCTGACACCTAGATGCAATGCAGCCTCCGCTTGCCTTGCTCTTTCGGTCCAGGTGTGACCAAGTCCATCCTCAACCCAACACCGGCTGACCTTTAAGAAGCAAACCCTGAGCCTGGTGGGGGTGGCATGATCCTTTAATCCCAGCAGTCAGGAGGCAGAGGCAGGCAGGTTTCTGTAAAGTCAAGTTCTGCCTGGTCTACATAACGAATTCCAGGTCAGTCAGCGCTACATAGCGAGACCCTGTCTAAAATGCAGCAGCAGCAGCAGCAGCAGCCGGTCACACGTCTCCTCTGGCCTTTCCAGCCAGCCATCCCCACCACACACCAAGCCTTGGACCCAGACACATCGAGGCCTCAGCCCTGAGTCCCTCATCTCCAAGGAGCCAAAGCCTATGCTTCTGCCCCGATCACCCAGAGTTACTGATCAAGCTAGGACTTTGTCCCCCTCTTCTGGGCCTGGCAGGGACATTCTGTCTTGGATCCAGTAAGCCCTAGATGGCTCCTAAGGGGGGATGGAGTTTGGAGGGTTAGGGTAGTCCAGGGACAAGCAGTGATCACAGGCAAAAGAGGTGGGCGGGACCTAAGCCTAACTGGTAAGGAGGAGTAGGGAGGAGTCGGGAGTCGGGAGTCGGGAATCGTCAGCACAGAGGATCAAATTCCTCCGGGGTGAACTCAGAGATAAAAGGCTGACACAGGAGGCTTGCAGAGAACAGGGGAGACTGCCCACTTTCTTCTTAGCCCTCAACTAGCAGAACAAGGCTGTTAGCCCACAACACAAGACAGAAGCCTCCCCCACTCTTCAGTGGCTGGCCCTGCCTGCCCCTCCTCACCCTCACTGTCTGCCTGAGAGACCAGAAGGATGGAGCCCGGCAGGACTCAGATAAAACTTGACCCCAGGTAAGTGAGGGCATGTGCATGTATTGGGCTGGGAGCCAGTTGCTAAGAAACAGCAGCAGCCCCTGTATCTCTGGCCAGTCCCCGCCTGGCTCCCTCACTGGGCTCTTTGACTTGCGACACTCAGAACAAGATAAGATTGAAAACGGCCTGCAAGTCCTCTTGGGCCTCAGGGAAACTGGAATTGGATCAGTGTGTAACCATTTCAGGGCTGTGACAGATCACAGAGGCCAGGGCTGCAGAAGGCACACCTAGACATGCACAGAGCCCCTGAGCAACAGTGGGCAGGCCCATCCCTGGTGCTGCGATGGGACCACTCCTTTCTCTCTCTTCCTCCCTCTCTTCCTCCCTCTCTTTCTTCTGATAGAATCCTATCATGTCCTTATGAAGTTGAAGCTGGCCTCAAACTAAGATCCTCCTGCCTCAGCCTCTCTCTCCAGTGCTGGGATTACAAGCCCACAATACCATGTCTGGTTAAGAGTTTACTCTTTCTTTCTCTTGGACCCTGCTCATCCTCCCTGGCCAGTTAGGCTACTGCCCTGATGGAGCTGCCCATGGCTAACTGGCAGCTTGTTTTACTCTAACCAGAGCCAGTTCCCCAGGGCTTCAAGGAAAAACAGACTAGCTCCTTGCACTCAGGAGTGTTTGGGGTGTAGCAAACTGTCCAGTCTGCCGAACCCCTTCCCCAGCTGCCTGGTTCTGAGCAAACTGCTGTCTCTCCAGGTACACAGCAGATCTTCTGGAGCTGCTCCAAACCAACTACAGCATCTCCTCCGCCTGCTTCTCTTACCCTCCCACTGCAGCCCAGCTCCTGAGAGGTGAGTCAGGGGGCCTTCAAGGAGCTGAAGGGAAGACATGTGTATCCCAGAGGGAAGCCGGGGCAACTGGGGGAGCTCAGGAGAGCTGGTTTCCATCTGGTCAACGTGAGAGGGTGTCTGGCCTGGTGTTAATAATGGCTCAGGCCTCGGAGAAGGTCATTCTCCCAAGGAATCAGTGAGCCACAATGAGACATGAAAGTCTAGCCCAGGAAACAAACCTGAGGCTGGGCCTCCACCTACTCCAGCCTCAAGACACATCCAAACTGGGGACACTAGGATCTAGAGCATTTATTTGTGTTTCCTGCTTTTAAGATGGTCATTATAGTTCAAGCCTCACAGTTGTCCTGGAGTATGCACATACTCCCTAAGAGAGCTCACGGCTCTGCAGAGGGTGGCCGCTGTGAGGAGTGGACTTGTCTTGCATGAGCCTGCAAACTTGTCCTCCTACTGTCTAACTGCTTTTGTAAGTGGGAGGCATTGGATGGAGCTGAGCTGCCTCCAAGCTACTGAGAACAAAGCGGCATGTGTGCTTCTAGGAGGGGAGTGATCAAATGTGTGTGTGTGTGTGTGTGTGTGTGTGTGTGTGTGTTATAAACTTTATTTTGTGTGCATTGGTGTGAAGATGTCAGATCTCCTGGAAATGCAGTTACAGACAGGTGTGATCTGCCTTGTGGGTGCTGGGAACTGAACCCAGGTCTTCTGGAAGATCTACCAGTGCTCTTAACCACTGAGCCATCTCTCCAGTCCCAACCAAGCCAGTTTTATCTTGTCTCCTACACCATGATTAACTGTTTCTGAAATGTGGGGCTCTTGTGGCTTCTTCCAAAATAGATGCCTCCTAAGCAAGGGGACACTGTCATGTGCAGTGGGAAGCAGATGTGACCAGGCCCTTGGGCTAAGGATAGCTCTGTTTCAGATGCTCTGAGCCAGAGCCTTGTCAACTGCAGGTGTCCAGAGATGCCTGGTGACACTCTGGTTAGCGACAGCAGGTAGCTGCTCTACCCAGCTTTGAGCACCTCATATTTAGAGAATTGCGCGGGTGGGACAAATGTCACCTCACATCAGATGTCCTCAGCCCAGGAGGTATTTGGCATGTCTACAGACTGTTTGAGTGGCCTCACTGGAGGTTGCCTGCCCTTAGCATATAATGGAAGATGTTAAGGAGGTCACTAGACCACCTGCAGGATACATTATAGCCCTGCACAGTACAGCCCTCAGCAGTATGGTGTCAGCAGTACCCATCCTCTGAAATCTTGCCTTGCACAACATACTAACTCTCATAACTCTGCTACCACATGCATAGGTAGAACAGCAAGGATTTGGAAATAGGTTGACTGTGGGTCTCAGAGTCAAGTAGGCTGCCTGGTGAGGCTGGAGCAGAAGGGACATGGGGAGCCAGGGTGGGGATGACGGTGGAATGAGCCAGCCGGCTGCCCACACATGGTTACTGGTGGAGGAGCTTGGGGCAATTGACAGGGCTGGGCAGGTGAGGTGGGGCCTGGATCAGGTCAAGCCTGAAGGTTGTACTTTATCCTCAAGATGGAGCCACCCCTAAGGGCTGTACCATTGGGAGGGGCTGAGTGGAGTTTTCAGGACCTTTAACCGGTAATCAGAATGACTTGGGGGTAAGAGCTTGGCTGAAGCAGAGATAAAACCAAGAGGTTGTTGACCCCATCCAGCAGGCCAGAGCAGGTCAGCAGGAAGGAAAGAAATGGAAAATGCAGCCAGCACAAAGCAGGAGCCCTGGTAAATATTTAGACAGGAGAGTGATTCTGAGTTGTGGCAATGACCGACGGTAGAAACTCCTTCCGGTTTCTTAAGTGGTTAAAAGGGCTGTTCTACAACTGTTAGAGCTTTTAATAACCAGGTGTTTTAGAACTTATGATATGGTTCCAGTTATAATCTTTAATTTTGTTTCAAATTGAACTGACCGAAGCGTTTATCTAGAAGACCCAGGATGGTTTGGGGAAGGTGCAAAAAGGAAGACTGTCCTGCCAGCGACGAAGGCTTGTGCTAAGCTTGTAGCAGTTGAAGCAATGAGGTCACAATGGGCTTGGAGGGACAAAACAGCAAAGCCTCAGGTCTAGGGGCAGCACTAGGCCTCCATGGGGGCCACACAGAAGGGAGGTGGGCCCCCTCCTAGGAAGATGTGCACAACCACTGCCTATATCCCCAAGGAAATAAGTACACAGGAAATCAGCATTAATTCAGGCACATTAAGGACATAAGCATAAAATGAAAACTTTTTTACTAAAAAAAAATTGTCTTTATGATTAGAAACAGCAAGTAATTTCTTAAAAGTCAAGAAAGGGCCAGTGAGATGGCTGAGTGGGTAAAAGTGTTTGCTGTCCAAGCCTGAAGACCCGAGTTTGGTACCCAGGACCCTTGTAAAAAGCTGATGAAGCGGCAGCCACACATGGCATAATATATAATACCTATGAATATAGTACCCATGAATCCCAAACTGCCCCTCTCCCAGCCCAGCAGTTCTAATTCTAGGCATATGAGAGGTAAAACTCTCCTGTCTGCATCAAGACACACCAGGGATGCTAACTGCAACATCAACTTCTCATGATGAAAGCAATAAAAGCTATAGAAACAAGGGTGGGCAAAAACACAGCGTTTGTAAGACGTCATTTGCATAAATTATTTATTGTAGATATTTATTTTATTCTAATTATTTATTATTAGTCTTATGAGACAGGGTCTTGCCATGTAGTCCTGGCTGCTTTAGAACTCTCTCTGTAGACTAGGCTGGTCTTGAACTCACAGAGATCCTCCTGCCTCTGCCTGCTGAGTGCTGGGATTAAAGGCGTGAGCTACCACTGCCCTGTTCAGCCTGCTTTCTTATAGAAGCCAGTTTCACCAATCCAAGGGCGTCATCACCTCAATGGGCTGGGTCCTCCTCCCACTAATTATTAATTAAGAAATGCCCTAAAGGGTAGACCACAGACCTATCATATGGAGGCATTTTCTCAATTGGGGTTCCCACCTCTCTGATGACTCTAGTCTGTGTCGAGTTGAAGAGCGAGCATACTTAAAGGAGCAGTCACTGTTACTTGGCAACAGAACAGAGAGCATCCTGACAAGGCCCGTGTGTGAGAGGTGGAGGCAGTATGAAAGTATAGGAAGATGTAAAGAATCTCGATGAGCTGGGCAGGCCTCATCACACAGGCTACAGGACCTGTGGGCTGAAGTCTAAGCACTGGGACAGAGAACACAGGCCCAGGGGCCAGCCAAGCAGAGGTCAGGGAGAAAAGCAGAGGCCACAGAGAAAGCCCTGGGCAGAAACAGCTCAGCATGGCTGCTGGAAAGATGAAAGCATGGGAGTGAAATCTTCAGCCCCAAACAGAGCTGAGATGAAAGGGTTTTAGTTAGTGGGTAATTGCACACATTGATAGAATCCAATACGCACATACAAAGTACACTGATCAAATCAGGGAGGCTAACTTCTCCAGTCCTTCAAGCTCCTATTTCTAGTCTTTCATAAAATGTGAGCTGAAGTCACCCTAGTGGACTGTGAAACCCTAGATGTCCCCTGTTCCCCAGTCTCCCTCTGTACACCCCTCTGCCTTTCTGCTGTGGAAGACAATTTATTTAGAAAAACTCCCTTGAGTCTGGAGAATGCAGGGTGTGGAGATCCCAGTTCAGAGGCCATGGGAAAAGCCAAGAATGGACTTCTGGGAGCTTTCCAAGAAAAGAGCAGACAGGGTGTGAGCTTTGGTGTGCTTGTGTGAGTATACCATCATTACACAGTGTATATTAGTGTTAGAATATGCACAGCGGTATCACCTTCTTAATGAAAACTTTTACATGTCAGGGACTGATGGGGATAGCTCAATGGGTCAGTTACTTGTCACACAGCATTAGGGGCCTGAATTCATCCCCAGCACCCACATAGACAGCATGGGGAGGTATCTATGTACCCCAGCACTAGGAGGCAGAGATGGAGGGACCCCCTAGAACTCGCTGCCTAACAAGTCCAGTCAAATTGGTGTGCTCCAGGTTGTGAGAGACCCTGATCAAACAACAAGGTAGTGGACTGGTGAGATGGCTCGGAAAGATGCTTTTAACTGAGGAAAAGTTAAAGACTCTGTAGGATCAGACATGATGGCACACCTTTAATCCCAAGCACTTAAAGCCAGGGGTAGGAGAATAACTGTGAGCTCAAGTCTAGCCCTCTCTAATATTTCTGAGTTCCAGTTCCAGGCTTGCCAAGGCTACACAGTGAGACTCTATCTTAAAACTCACACGCAGGCACGCACGCACGCATGTGCTTGTACTTTATTCAATAGGCATTAATGGAACAGCATTTGTCCTTCAATTCATTAGCATCTATTCCTCTCCTCTAGAATTGGGCCCATTGGAAATTGCCCTCACCATCATCTTGACCTTTTTTACCATGGGTTCAATTGCCATCTTCGTGGAGGATGCCGTTTATCTGTACAAGAACACCCTTTGCCCCATCAAGAAGAGGACTCTGATTTGGAGTAGCTCTGCACCCACGGTGAGGATGCCAGCGCTGGTCCTGGAGCCAGGGCAGGCTGGCTGGAGAGTTCTCCTAAACTCACTTGCTCCAGAACAGAGCTGCCTGCCGGCACTGGGGATGTGAACTGATCTCCACCTGTTTGCAAGGCCAACAGCCCATGGGATGAAGTCTTCTATTGCAAAGGACTGCAGAGACAGCAACCCACTCAGTACCAGGACTTTATCACGGCACTGCTGTTAAAAGCGGGCCATCTTCCAATACACAGGTGTTTGTTTCCACAAGATCATGCTCAGTGTGGCCCTTCTATTGTGGGTTGGTTTTGGTTTTTTGTTGTTGTTGTTTCCCCTGTGTGTACTGAACAGTCTATCACTGAGACACAGCTCCAGCAGCCGTAAGCCTTGTCTGTGCAGCCATTGCATAGGACCTGCATTTAATTTATTCAGTTATTTTCCAATTGCAATTTTTATTTTTAAAATTGAATGTTATTGTTATTATTATTGAGAGTGTGTGTGCACATGATGGGGAAGCACACATGCCACAGCTCGTGTTAAGAGGCCAGAAGACAAATTTGTGGAGCTGTGCTCTTGTTCCACCCTTACGTGGGTTCTGGGGAATGAACTCATTGCCTGGTTTTCATGAGACGCTCCTCCACGTGCTGAGCCATCTCACCAATCCTCATTTCTATTTTTGTCGGTTCTGGGTACAGAGCCCAGGGTCCTACGCATGCTCTACCAATGACAGCCTCAGCGGTTAGCAAGTGGAGGGGCCTCGCTACAAAAACATGGGATGATCTCACTTGCCCTGCCCTAACGCGCATCATGCTCTTCTGCAAGCAGGTGGTGTCTGTGCTCTGCTGCTTTGGTCTCTGGATCCCTCGAGCCCTCACACTCGTGGAAATGACCATAACTGCGTGAGTGTCTGGCTCCGCCCCGCCGCTGGGGATGAGCATTCCTTTATTGGCCTTTTCTGACTCCCAAGCCTCCAGAGCCCTGGTCTGTAAGTCCCATTGATAAGAATCTAGCTCTCACCCACCTGTGCTAATGTGAGACTCTTGATTCTGCTTGCGCTCAGGGAATGCCTTTTTGGGGCACATGCCTCAGTTACCTGTTTATTCCCAGAGGTCCAAATTGTCCCCTTCCCAGTCCTCTGGACCCAGTTACTTCTCTGTTCCCCATGTCATGCACCTAAATGCCAGCCTCAGCTGGGCAGCAGTGGCACAGGCCTTTAATCCCAGTATGTGGGAGACAGAAGCAGGCAGATCTCTGGGTTCAAGGCCAGGCTGGTCTACAGTTAGTTCCAGGACAGCCAGGGCTAGCTAAATGGAGAAACTGTGTCTTGGAAAACCAACTAAAATGCCAGGCTCTTTTCTCTTTACCTCAGCGAACCCCCCTTTCTCAGCAATCTTTATCTCATTAGCAGCAAAGGGTGCACGGTGAAGCTCCCACCCACACTTGCAATCCTGCTTCTCTATCCCAGGTTTTATGCTGTAGTCTTTTACCTGCTGATGCTGGTCATGGTGGAAGGCTTTGGTGGGAAGGACTCAGTTCTGAAGACACTGCAGGACACCCCAATGAGGGTGCACACAGGTCCCTGCTGCTGCTGCTGCCCCTGCTGCCCACCCCTCATGCTCACCAGGTAAGGCAGAGAAATGCCAAGGGATGAAAGAACATGATGCTCTGTAACCCCAGTTCATGGCTCTTGAAATTAAGTCTGTATGGGACAAAGCCAATGATAAAGGTAGGCATCCCACAGCCAGAAAATCCACATGGGCCCCCAGAGAGAGAAATAGAGGAAGAATTTTTTAAAATGTGGATGTTTTGACATGGGTTTCTGGTCCCCTGGAACTGGATGACAGTTGTGAGCTGCCATGTGGATGCTGGGAGTTGAACCCGGGTCCTCTGGAAGATCAGTGGGGTTTTTTTTTTGGGGGTGGAGGGGTTGATACATGGTTTCTCTGTATTGCTTTGGAGCCTGTCCTAGATCTAGTTCTGTAGATCAGGCTGGCCTCAAACTCACAGATATCCACCTGCCTCTGCCTCTGCCTCTGAGTGCTGGGGTTAAAGGTGTGCACTACCACCAGTCAGTGTTCTTAACCTCTGAGCCATCATCTCTCCAGCCGGAAAGGAATGCTTCAGCTCACTGCCTTGCTGATCTACTTACCTACTTTATATTGAGACAAAGTTTCTTTGTGTAGCCCTGGCTGTCCAGGAACTCTGTAGACCAGGCTGACCTTGAACACACAGAGATCTACCTGCCTCTGCCTCCTGAGTGCTGGGGTTAAAGGTGTTTTTTTTTTTTTTTTTTTTTTTTTTTTAATCATGCCCAGTTTGCACTGCATACTTTAGTGGCAAAGTGAAAACTGTAGTTTGGGTGCTTGCTTGCCCCTTTGCCTACTTTGAGTAATGGACTTGAAGTCAATACTTTGAGCTCCTACTCAAAAGGCATCAACAGAGGCAAGTGTGAGGCCAGGAGGGTTCCCAGTACCCTCAACCTACCCTCTACTGTGCCTTCATGGCAGTCCAGCCTTGGGAGCTCAGTGGAGAGGCTAGGCTTCCTTAGGACGGGTGGTTTATGGGTCCATGTTAACTCTCTTCCTCCTTCAGGAGGAAACTTCAGCTGCTGATGTTGGGCCCTTTCCAGTATGCCTTCTTGAAGATAATGCTGAGCATAGTGGGCCTGTTTCTCATCCCTGATGGCATCTATGACCCATCAGACGTAAGCCAGGAAAGGACAGTAAAGTCTAAGACTTGTCTTTGGGTTCTAGAAATAATCTCTGAGTGCCAGCAATACACAGGGTCAATGGGAGGGGTGGCCACAGGGGAGTAACAGCCCAGAGAATCCGGTGGGGAGATGGTTTAGGCTTTGGGGCTTTCCTCACATGGAAGAGGAGACACAAAGGGAGGGTTTGTCCCCCTGACTGCTTTCTGGTCTGCCACCAGATCTCTGAGACGAGCACAGCTCTGTGGATCAACACTTTCCTCGGCGTGTCCACACTGTTCGCTCTCTGGTCCCTAGCCATCCTTATCCGTCAAGCCAGGGCGCACCTGGGCGAACAGAATATGGGGTCCAAGTTTGCTCTGTTCCAGGTAACTACACCCCAGAAACAGCATTTGGCAACACACGACGAGTTAAGACTCACAGAGGCAGAAGTGGATTCAATAGTCTCAACCTTTGGGTTTTCTGAGAGATTTGGAAGATTTTCTCCCCCACTGCCAGACATTTTATCTATCATTTGCCTTTCTGTGCCACAAAACACCACCAACTGGGCTTAAAACAATAGAAATGTATTGTTGCACAGATCTAGAGCCTGTAAAAACCCAAAGTCAAAATATAGGCAGAGCCATAATCTCTTTGGAACCTAGAGAACCCAGCTTGCCACTCCCTCTCGGATTTGGCCCTTCCTTGGCCTTGTGCTGTATTTCCCCTACCTCTGCCTCCATCATCATATGGCCTTTCCCACCTGTCTGTCTCTATTTTATGTGCTACATGCTACTGGGTGTCTGATGGTGACCAGAAGAGAGATAAAAAAAATTTTTTTTTCTCATGAGCAACCTGAATGAGTGAAATGGAAGCAGGATTATCATTTGCCCGAAGATGGAAATCACAACCATTTTTAGTAGTTTTAGATCTCAGCCCTCTATTAACTGCAGAGACTAGTATGCCTAGTCTGCACTGGCCCCAGGACCAGGGGTGGCAGTGGCAGCCCTACCCCACCACCTGTCTCTTCTGTCCTGCAGGTTCTTGTCATCCTGACTGCCCTGCAGCCCTCCATTTTCTCCGTCTTGGCTAATACCGGGCAGATTGCTTGCTCGCCACCTTTTTCTTCTAAAATCAGGTCTCAAGGTGAGCTCTTAGGGCTCCTTTCTGTGTCACAGGTGAGACTGGGAGCAGATCGGGGAGAGAGGACCTTGGGACAGAAGTTGGGCCAACCTGATGTCTATTCAGAATGTTCAGGAAGAACCCAAGAAACCAGGCAGAGGATCTGAGGACTCTTCCCTCTCTCATCATGGAGAATGGCAATGTCCCCAGATTGAGGCCAGTCCGAATGGCCAATCCAGGAGGGCAGGGATTCAGTCCTCACCTTGGGATAAGGATGGATGTGGTTAGGAAGCAGACTGCTGGGTAAACACACACACACTGGCCTCAGATCACAGATATCATAGCCCAGTTCTGGCTACCATTAACCTGCCTTGCTCCACACAGCAGCCTGGTATCCTTAGGTCCTGGTTCGGAGGTAAACTGGAGTGTCTCTTAGCTCACTTGCCAGGGCTGCTATGGCTCCCTCCTCTGTAACCCCTATCGTGTTTTCCTCCACACTGCAGTGATGAACTGCCACATGCTCATCCTGGAGACCTTCCTGATGACGGTGCTGACACGAATGTACTATCGAAGGAAAGATGACAAGGTTGGGTACGTCAGTTGTTCAGCACCAGACCCGGACTTGAAACTCAAAGCCTGAAGAGAGTGGCTTGGACTATGGAAATGATACTGTCCTTCTCAGAAGAGCATGCGCTTTCTTCTGTCCCTTGACCTTAAGCAGAGGTTAAGGCTCTCACTGGCAGCACAGGCTGGCAGCTTCCCTGTGACGTAGGGATGAAGGTAAAATGCAGCATGCTGAAATGTTTTGAGTTGTGTTCAGGGAAAGTGTCTGAAGTTTTGTAATGAACAGAGTCTGCATTGGCAGGCTGCTTCTGGGGGGGGGTACATGCCACTATTGGTCACCCTGAGGCTTCTGGGGGTGCATGCCACTATTGGTCACCCTGAGCTTTTGCACAGGAGAATAAAAGGGAGAAGAGCATGTGTTTTATGTATGGTTTATCTGATATAAAAACAGGCAAAACAGCACCAGCCTTGCTTCCAGAAGAAACCAGGCTCTGCATGCAGTACAAGTCATTCTTTCCTTGGGTGTAACAGTTGGCCATAGGAGGTCTGAGATCCCCTTGTACCAGCTTTTTGAGTTTTTTTGTAAGAAGCTGCAAGTGGAACTGCTCATTAATACTGTCATGAAGCTTGACCTTGAGGAGAGATATCAGGACGTAAATTCAAAGGACCTGAGAATACAAATAAATAAAAGCCCCCAGTACTTAAGACGTTAACACACGTAAGCCTGGTCAAACCTACAGGAAATAGAAACACCAGGCAAAACCACAATGCCTTTATTTGGCTAAATGAAAAAAGCCAAAATAACCCTGAATAAATTATTATACAGGAAAGTGGCACACTGAGCTCTGAGGCAAACTCCCTATCGAACGGCAGTGGTGACGGGCAGGTGTTCACGCCACAAGTGACTCTTTCCAACAGCATTTTCTGTTCAGGAGCCTTGATGCAAAACACAGTTAGCCCCTCCAAGGTGGTGGAGGGTGCTCACTTCAAACCCAGGAGAACCCAATCTGGGCCATCCAAGTGTAATCCTGCCATTTCTGGTCTCTACCCCGATCTCGTACGGACAAAAAATTCTGGCAGACAGACTATATTTCTTATTTTTCTTTTAGGAGAATTAACCTTTAATATTATTTAATATTTAATGTCCAAGAACATGTTGTACTTATTTTTTTTCTGAAAAATAGAAGCTAGGGACCATTCTTTATCCCATGATAATCTGTTCTGTGAGAGAAAACAATCATTGTTAATGACTTTGAAAAATACAACCTTTAAAAATACTTACATTGGTAAGCTTAAAAAAAATACCATTAGTTTTTAAAACATCATTAAGGAAGCTTCCTTTGAACCTGTGTGGGTTCAATTTCGGCACATGTATGCTGACAGAGATCTAGAAGCTATGGCTTTAGGAAAGAAACCAAAGTAGGGAACAGAACTGATCTGAGAAGGCATTGAAAAGTTGGTAAGGAACAGATCTCAAAGACAACAGGCTCCAGTATGTGAGTTAATGGGAGTGAACGTGGGCTGGGGACAGTGACAAAGCACTGGAAGAGCCACCGTGGCTGGCCAGATGTGTGGCCATGGGAGTATCTACGGTGCTGCCAGAAACGGTCTCTCCAGCTCTCTTCTTGGGCATTTCCAGCCTTCGCACACTCCCAGCCTCTCCCTCAAGTCTGCAAAGGGTCTTTGGCTTAACTCTCAGAGACAGCAGCTGTGGGCACTAGCGATCCATTTCTACTTTGTCTATGTGGCAACCAGTCCTCTCCAGTCTCCAGCCTAGCACAGAAAAGAGCAACATTCCTGTCCAGCCCATGCCCAGGTCGGCTGCTATACTGGCCTCTTCTCAGCACCAGCTAGAAGACTCCTGTCGGCGGCCACTTCCTATGGCATAGAGGCTGTGAGGCCAAACAACTTAAGGTTCTCGCATCCTCACCCGGACCCTTCCATGCTGCCTGCTTTCTTATAATGCCTCGGGGAAAAGCTCCACAGCTGAGGCTGCACAGGAAGAGATTCGGATTAGTCAGACACAACATCCAGATGCTTAACCACATTTAACTGGATACAAGTGGCCGACAGTGCAGCATCCCAACAGCACCTTTTTCTAGCACCTAGGAGCACACTGACCCTCGAGTACCTAACATGTTGCCACACCCTCGACATTTTTGCTTATGCCTGTTAACTGAGAATATGAGTGTTCCAAGATATGAGCATAGGCTAGTCTAGCTAAGGTGCACATCTTGTCAGCCTCCAGGCCCTGGTGTTTGAGACTCTTTCCATCTCCACAGTGACATACATCCACTGAGAGAACGAGCAGGTGAATGGCAGCAGTGACGTCATCACCCGTGTGTACCTGGGAGAATAAGGCAGACAGAAACGGATCCCCAAAGAGAAGACCAAAGTAGAAAAGTTAAAACGAGCTATGCAGTGCTATAAACATGAGAAAACACTACTCAACAGCTTTGAAAAAGGATTCCAGGCCAAGGCCATTATGGATCACATCTGACAGTGAAATCAGCACTTCATGAGGAGTAGTTAGGAACAGAGTTTCCACAGGCCATCGATCGGGGCACCAAGTGTGCCTCTCTGATCCTCTCCTCTGCTCTACCTGCCTGGAAGATAATATAGGAGCCTAGGTAGTCCTGCCATGCAGGCATTGTGTGGTGCTAGCCTCGGACCCTTAGGCAGTAGCACAGCTTCCACCAGAAAGTGCCTAGGGAGGACTATGATATAAATGCTCACAGTCCCAGCAGAGGTACAAGGAAAAAGAATATGTGGTTTTCTTTGCTGAAAACACTAAAGCTCCACCCCCACAAGGGGTACTTATGAGTGACAAGCAGGTCCTGGAACAAACAATTTTGCCCTAAATCCAGCTACAGGCTAACTGACGGTGATGAGCTTGCTGGGCCATGTAGCTGAAATGAGATGCAAGGGGCCTAAATACATCAGCTCATACTCAGTAGCACGTATTGAGAATCGGCATTCTTTGATGTGAAATTCAAGTTCTGTTTCCTCTGGGAACTAACAGGTGCAGTAGAAGCGTAACCACCAGCATGGGTGGCCAGGGGGCACGGACCTCTGTGTGCCAGTAGTTTAGCGCATGCCTGTGACTTCTGGAAGGGCAGTGGAGGAAGTCCCTGCCAGGTGCAGTTCTTAGGAGGATAAAGAGTCTCCATGGGACACTGATCGGCTCAAAGAGCATTCTCAAGAGGAGCAGAGGTCAATAAGTGTTTTAGAGATGAAAGTGTTTTCTGATGCTCTGCCTGTGTGCCCTTTGAAAATCTAAGTGTTAAGTATGGCAATAAGCAACATGGGTTAAGGAGCCAAAATTCAAGCTGGGAACATTTACAAAGCATCCTTTGTATAAAGCCAGGCATGGTGCTGAAATGTCAGCTGCAGGGTGAGGGATGTATTCCCAACAGAAACGTAACCACAGCTGCCCTGGCACTAGACTGAGTTCATCGCACTGTCCTCTGCAATCCCAGCAGCCCTCAGTGTCCCTTCCGTCACAGGTAGGTTGCAGGAAAGAGAATGACAAGAATTCCCAAATAAAGGGCAACAGAATTTTCTGAGAAAATGAAAACAGCAGAAAGACCACAACCGACGCTCTGTGGTTTGATTGCAACCCCATCAGAGTCTGCATGGACCCCACTGGGTCCAACAAGAAACTCCTCAGGGAGTAAGAAAAGCGAGGCTTAGAACTCTTCCTTCCCACAGCCACAGTGACACATGGGCTGGCAGGGCACTCAGAATTAGGAGCTAATTCAGGTTTCAGATATTTTAGGGAAGTTAGAATTGCAACAATCTTGCTAAATGACCCACCAGCATGGCTCTTTGAAGGATCTGGCAAGCCACCTTGCTTCAGAACAGAAGGCAAGCACTAGTGTGTCAGGAAGAAAGGCCTCTGGGTAGTACACGCTTCCTTCTTCTGCCCACTCCTCAGGGCAAAAAATTAGTTCTACTTACTATATTTGAAAGACTAATTTTTAAAAAATTAATAAAAATGACAATTTCCCTGTCAAGATTACATGAGCATAAACAGTGAAGCAAAGTTCTGGGGAGGAAGATGGATGCAGAGCAGGCTTCTGAGCAGGTGTGCTCAGCCGATGGAGGTCTCAGGGCACAGGCTGTTTTGTTTCCCCCACTCCCAGGTCCTCTTGCCCCATTGTCTTTTCTTTGTAGATGTCCTTAGGTTTAGTGTTGGGATCACAAAATGGAATTCGACAGAGAGCTTCTGGAGGTGACGGGCAAGGGGGAGGGAGAGGGAACAGGGACGAAAGGTTAGTCCTCTTCATCCTCGCTGATGTCACAGGTCACAGCCTTGCGCCTAGAGAGACTTGCTGGGGAGGAAGATGGGGAAGTCTTGCCAGAGAAGGGCCATCGAAAGGAGGGGGAGGGGGAGCGTTCATGAGTAGGGCTGCTGCTGGGACTCTGCCTGGGACTGATGGCCTGCAGCATCCGACCTTTTCCCTCTTTCAGCATATGTTTCTAGGGAGGCAGACCAAAAGGGAAAGTTAGAAGATACCTTTGGACCACAGGGTTTTTGACTCTCCCCTATAATTAATTTCTCTATTGCTGAGGGTCAAGGCTATGGCCTCACATTCGAGGGGCGCGCCCAGCCCTTGCTATGTCAAATATGACTGAAGAAGACAGGAGGGCTCAGCTGTAACGCTAGCAGTTTCCTCTCCACACCGGCTTGTCAGTCATTCTTTCCTCGACTCCCGTCAGAGACATTCTTCGAGGTGGCTTAGTCTGCAGTGCACATGAGCGCAAACACTAATGGAACTCTATTTGGTTTGAGAGCAGTTATTCTCACTGGGGACCCACAGCAGCTCCTCATGGAGAGGCGACTTTCCATCTGCGCTCTTTTCCCCTTCTCTTCCCTGTAAACCCAAAACATAGAAGTAATGGCTTCTACCTACTTATCTTAACTCCACGTGTCAAAGCTGATAGACAGCTGGCAAAATCACTAGGAAAATGTGTGACTAGATAACTTCTTCATTTTGATGTTCCTTTCTGCTAAGAGTCTATATTCCTTTCCACAGCATTGCAAGTCTCTTGAATTCACTGTACAATGACTAGAGGCTGAAGCATTAGTATCACAAGTTCAAGACCTGCTTTGGGTCACATAGAGAGCTCAAGGCCAGTTTAGGCACCTTAAGAAGACACTCCTAAAAATAATAAATAAGCTTGGTGTGGTGGCATACACCTTTAATCCTAGCCGTTGGGAGACAGATAGGCAGATCACTCTGAGTCCTAGGCTAGCCTGGTTTACACTGCAAGTTTCAAGCCAACCCCATGGTGAGTTCTTGTCTCAAAAATAATAAACAGATGAATAAATAGATAAGGCTGAGGGTGGAGCCCAGTGCCAGTGCTTGCTAGCATGAGAGCAGCGCCCCACCCACATGCCCCCAGGGTCGGGAAGGCAGGCCCTCACCAGTGCTCCTTCCGGACCGAACATTTCCAGGAAACTTCCAATGAATTCTCGGGACTTCTCTTCCCACTTCTGGATGAGGTCAATGCTCTTTTCTTCCACCTTCTGCACAAATTCTTTTGATTTTTCTTCCACATCTTTCACTTTCTTCTTTACTTTGTCAACCCGTTCTTGCAAGTGGTATTTCTTCTCCTAGGGCAAAACAAATGGCTTTAAGACATAATGCCCAAGCTGGAAGGGATGGCTCAGGTTACTAAGAGTGCTTCCTGCTCTTCCAGAGGACCTGAATTTGATTCCCGCACCCACTTAAGACGGCTCACACCTGCCTCTATGTTCAGCCCCTGAGAGCTCTGACACCCTGACCTGCCAGCATCCACACTCACACGTACTTACCCAGAGACATACACATAACAATAAAAATAGTTCATTAAATTTTCCATTTTAGAAATTCTGCTTTGCTTAATCTGCCCTGTATTTATTTAACATAATAATAGGAAAGATTGCCAGGTGGTGGCGCCTCACCCCTTTAATTCCAGCATTTGGGAGGCAAAGGTAAGTGAATCTCTGTGAGTTCTCGGCCAGCCTGGTCTACAAATCTACACAGAGAAACCCTGTCTCAGAAAATAATAATAATAATATTAGGACAGATTATCTCTGAACAGTCATCATATATGAAAGTATCATTTTTGTTTGTTTGTTTGTTTTGTTTTGTTTTTTGAGACAGGGTTTCCTCTGTGTAGCACTGACTGTCCTGGAATTCACTTTGTAGATGAGGCTAGTCTTGAAACTCACAGAGATCCACCTGCCTGTCTCCTGAGTACTGGAATTAAAGCTGTGCACCACACCTGGCTGAAAGTATAATTTTAATATCATAAGAGCTCTGGACTAAACTAACTACAACAGTGAGGCTGGAACAGACCAGCATATAACCAAATTAAGTCAAGGTTCTCAAGATAAATCTAATATAACAAAATATTATATACCCAACATGACTCTTTGAGATGGGAATGTACAAGCACAAGATCATTACATAACACTACTAAGAAACAGCCAATTATGCCAGAGGCAACGTGGAAATACTAGAGCCTTAATTGATACACTGTACTAGGTGCCCCCCATCATCAGCTCATTCCATAATTTCCTCTTTTATTTGTGTGTGTGCATGTCTATGCATGTGTGTGCGTTCACATGCATGTGCACGTGTGTAGGTCAGAGGAGAACATCAGGTGCCTTTAACCACACTCTATTTCCTTGAGTCAGGCTCTCACTGAACCTGGAACTCACCAATTCTACTAGGCTGTCCAGCTGCTGTCCTAGGCCCCAGTTATCTGAAATAATGTGCTGCCACACCTAGCTTTTTACATGGGTGCTGGGGATCAGAACTCAGGTCACTATGCTTGTATAGCAAGCACTATAACAACCAAGACATCTCAGCCCATGTTTTATTTCTTAGAAATTGAAGATCTGCTTGCTCATCTGCAAAATGACAAGAAATTTGGTCCTATCAACGTTCCTAAACATTAGTGTAAAATGGTATAAATGCTCTATGGAGAAGGAGTGATATTTGGTTAAATGTAAAGTATCGTATCATCTGAGCATGGCACTTGCGGTAACCCCAGTACTCAGGAGCCCAAGGCAGGAGAAACACAAGTTCCAGGTCAGCCTGGCTTAACTTGAGACCTTTTGTTGAAAACAAAACAATGTGGGGCTGGAAAGGTGGCTCCGCAGTTAAGGGCACCTTCTCAGAGGACCCGGCTTCAATTCCCAGCATTCACATGGCAGATCACAACTGTCACTCCAGTTCCAGGGGATCTGACACACTCACACAGACATACATGAAGTTATTTTTTTCAAAAAAAGGTAGTCTCCTAACTCCATTATCATAAGAAGGAAGGAAAAGGCCACAGTTCAGCTCAGTAACACAGCATGCACTTGGCTGCACAGGGTGAAGGGAGGGAGAGGAAGAAAAGGAAGAGGAATCATTTATTTTTATTTTTTCTCCTTTCATTTTTTATGTATATAGGTGGGTTTTTATTGTTGTGTTGTCTCCATGTTGTTGGTGCCCCACATACATGTAGTGTCCTAGGAGTCCAGACAGGTCACTGGATGCCTTGGAACCAGAGTTACAGATGATTGTGAGCTGCAAAATAGAGGCTGGGAAAAGACCCAGGTCCTCAGGAAGAGGACTTAATGGGTGAGCCACCTCTCTGGCACCTGCTTTTGTTTTATGAGACAGTCTTGCTATGAATCTTAGATAAGCCTCACATTTGCAATCCTGCAGTCTCAACCTCCTGCTGGGGATATAGGCATGCAGCACCACCCTTGGCTCACCTACTTTTTTCCCTTGTGACCTGAAACACTATATAGCTGACCTTGAACTTGAAGTGGTCCTCCTGCCTTTGCCTCCCAAACCCTGGGAAATCGGGATGCACCACTAAGCCCTACCCTGGTTTACCTTATTCTTTCACAAAGCTGGGAACAAGTGAAAGATTTGGGCTATATGATTACTGCATACAATATAGTTAACAGATTTTTTTCTTTTTATATCAACTTTACTGAAACTTTATACATAAAATTTATAGAATTTCTAAAAGCACATATTATGCAAAAGTACTTGTATGATTTTTAAAACAATACTTGTAAATAGCCCATGCAGGGAAAGTATACATAAAATGTTGTGTATCATTAGTAAGCCACATGGGGAAAGATCATAGTTTTCATCACATTTTCAAAAAAACATGCAATAAAAAAACAAAACTAACCACCAGTTAAGAGCCTTTCTTTATCTTTCTGATAAAGTGTACTATATAATTTATACTTCTGTTGTTTTTTTGAGACAGAGTGTCATGTCACTAAGACTGGCCTCAAAATTCTGATCTTGCCTCTAGTCCTTTCACTAGAACAGATATATCTGTATTTGGGACTATGGACAAGCTCAATTATACATTCCTATTTGCTGAATATTGTGTATGTGTGTGTGTGTGTGCACATACACACATACACACATGTTTTTTGTTTCTTTTTAAAGACAGACCTCACTGTGCAGCCTAGCTGGCCTGGGGTACACAGAGCTCTCCTGTCTCTGCCTCCTGCATCACCACGTCTGGCTGTGTTAGCCTGTCCTTGTATCAGTACACTGAGATATTAGACCATGAGGGCAGAACCTGCCTCTGTGCTCTCTATGAGGTGCTCAGTGTGGTACTTCCTGCAAAGAGGTATGCATTAGCTTTGAGGAATGATAACCACAGCAGACTGAAAAGTATGCTTGGCCCAGATGGTGTAGAAAGTAAGATGTGTCCTACAGAGGATGGGAACTTGGAGATGATGTTGCAACTCACATTGATAAAGCTGACATTGAGCTCCTTTGCAGTGTAGCCCCTCTGTAGGTTCCGTCTTGCATATACATCATAGTCACGGACAATGCGGGTGATGATATCTGATGTGGAGATACCTTCTGTCCTCTGTGTAGGAGCAAACATGCCTAAGTTGAAACAAACAGACAAACACTGTGATGTCCTGGCACATCAGATGAGGACTAGACAGAATCTGGGGGCAAAATACTTCTTTTTTTCTCAAAAAAAAAAAAAAAGACTTCCCTTTAGTCCCAGCACTTGGAAGGCAGGTAGATCTCTGTGAGCTCAAGGCCAGCTTGATCTACACTGAGTTCCAGAACAGGAAAAAAAAAAAAAAAAAAAAAGCAGACTCTAGAGATCCAGCACACAGAAGGACTGAGGCAAGGCCTAGAAGAAAGGAGGCACACATTGTCCTAATGGTAAGAAAAGTATGGGACTTGTCCTAAGTTTAAGAGATTAAAATGAGATGTTTGGACCAAAACATGACAGGTGTTAGACTCTGTTGTTCACAATTTGACCAGAAGCAGAATATGGATTTCTCAGAGTTCACATTCTCTACTGTAAAGCTGACTCTCTGAAGTTGCCCAGGACCCCATAAAGTGAAGCTGGACATCAACCCACTCACCTGCTTCTTTGATGTGCTTATACACGTCATCACTCCCCGCTGAAGAATAGGGGATATCGTCATGGGCTACGAAATCAATCTGAAATCAAGAGAAAACCCTCTCATCTCCAGGCTAACTGCCATTTGGAAAGACCCTGTAAATATCCCTGGGCTCAGAAAAGGGGAACCTGGCAGGGCCACACCTCAAAACACCATTTTCTCTGCACCTTTTTGCCTGGTCCATACATTCTACAATCTATTCAGAAACCACCAACGTAATTACTTATGACTTCTACATAGAAAGCTTGCAGCTATCTCTCCTGGTCTAAGAGAAGTATTATGTCCCTCTGTACATCATCAACATGCCATGGTCAGTGAATCAGGAAAGGTTTCTTGTAAGCCAGTTAGTATACAGAGCCTAGAAAGAAAGGAATCTCCCTGTCCTCTGGGCTCTACAGAAATGAGCCACAAAAAGGCTTCTAAAAAAGTGAAAGATCTCGTTATTGCTTAATTAACTGCTGTTCCTCTTAGTTCCCTAGAAATGGGGAATTTAGATATAGCAACTGAAGTCCTTTTACCAGAACAGATTATTTGTTCTACTAAGAAACACAAAACCCAAAGCTATGAGTCTTTATCACTGTATTGCTGTAAATACACTACACAAGACTAGGAAGGTTACAAACCCTCATTTATTGACTCTTTCTGGATGGCCCATAAGCCTTTGCTAATGTAATACTAACCCTAGCAAACCCAACCTCCAGAAGCTGCACAAGTGTGGAGCAAGCTCCTTAGGAGCTGAGCTAACATCTCCATTACCCATGAACAAGTTACCAGGACAGCAAAGTAAAGGCCCAGCAGCAAGCAAGCTGAGTGGTGGGGATTTACTGCTTACAAGGAGAAAGAGGACACAAAGTTCTCCTCTGACACCTATCTGGGCTGGCTGTGCTGCAGAGAATACTTTGCTCATCACCCTTGGTACCATTGCTAAGTGCTGATGGAGGAAAGGTAGAGAACCACATAGGTCTGTCCTAGGCTGGTGAGATGTCTGAGCAGGTAAAGGCACCTGCTGCCAAGCTTTGAACCCCAGTTCCATCCTGTGAGAGAACCAGCTCCCACAGGTTATTCTCTAACCTTTACACGTGTGCCATGGCCCCGTATCACACACACACAATAAGTAAATAAAATGCAGTAAATGGTCTATCCTAATCCTAAAGTTACAATAAACCTCTGCTGGCTTCAGGCCTACTCAAGTACCACTTTGGAAGGAAGCATGGTGGCTATCTTTGCTCCTTCCTGTCTCCTGCAATGATCCTCACACCCACACAGAGAAGTAACAATATGCACACTAGCTTCCCAAGCTGGAGGGTCTCTAACAGCAGTAATCAATCCATCCCTTCCATGCCCACCTTTGCAGGAAGCATGCTTCAATGAGGGAGAACTCAAAGGCAGGGGCTTTTAAAATAATAATTACTTCTTAAACAAGAGCAAGAACACCCTTGATTTTTGAACCCACACAATTTCTAGCCCCAAACCAAAGCTGAAAGTAAACTGAAATCAACAGAAGAGAATGTGTGCTATTTCCTAAACACAAAGCTTCAGTTTTTGTTTTTCTTTTTGAAAGGTTTTTATATTTTGTGTATGCCTGGTGTCCAGGGAAGCCAGAAAGTATTGGATCCTCTGGAACTGGAGTTACAGTTGTGAGCCACCATATGGATGCTGGGAACCAAATCCAAATCCTGTACAGCAAGTGTTCTTAATCTCACAGTCATCGGTCCAGTCACCTTTAAAGAGATTTTATTATTTATTTGTGTGTGAGTGTGAGTGTGAGTGTGTGTGTGTGTGTGTGTGTGTGTTGTACAGGGCTCTATGGAGCCCAGAAGAGGACATTGGATCCCTTGCAGCTGGAGTTACAAGCCACTGCAAGCTGCTTCATGTGTGTGCTGGGAAAACTGGTCTTTTGAAAGAACACAAGTGCTTTTTTTTAACTGTGGAGCCATCTCTCCAGCCTTTGCTTGGTTTTGACACAAGGTTTTTATTGTATAGCTCATGCTGTCCTCAAACTTGTGGACCTCCATAGTGTCTTGGCTATGGAATATAAACATTTTTTTTAACATTTAAGAAATTAAATTTATTTTGTATGTGTGCATGTAGGCTAGAGGACAATTCACAGGGGTCAGTTCTCACCTTCTAGCATGTGGGTCCAGAGTTCAAATTCAGGTCATCACACTGGGCAGCAAGTGTGTCTGCCTGCTGAACCATTTTACTCACCCAGATAGATAAGTCTGTCAGTGTGTGGCTAGAACTATGGATATTCTAAAGAGATTAGCATGCTGTAAGGGGAGGACACAGCTATTGTGTCGGGAGAAAAAACCATGTAGCCAGACATTTCATTTCAGTCCAGCTAACAACGTAACCTGGAGCACATTATTTTGTCTCTCTGGGCCTTGCTCTCCATATATAAATGAAATAATAATACTCCCACAGGCTGGCTGTGGGGAGCAGATGACAAATGGAAAAGTAGCCTTCTGTGTCAAGCACTGAGGGGATGTGGGAGTCAGGGACAAGACCACCTTCTTACCCGGTGCTCTGCCAGGAACTCGGGCGTCAGCGTCCAGGGGGCATTCCTCACCACCTCGTCCACATAGCGGCAGTGCTGCACAGCGTCATAGCGCTCGCTTTCGCTCATCACAGTGAAGCCCTTGAAGTTGTGCGTGAGCTCATCGCTGCAGACTGGGTTCAAAGCGCAAGTGTCAGTCAAGGCCCCTGACCCCCCTCACTCATCTACCTTTCCCATCTTGTACTTTCTAGGCCTTAACAATGCTTACACCACCCCATCCAATGAGGAGAAGAATCTTCTGGATGTCATTCAGCCTGGGTAACAATGTTTTCCCCAATCTAAGACCTTCAGGAGAACATTCACTACACCAAGGCTCACACTTCTGAAAAGGGTAAAACATGGAACTCAGATTTTGACTGAGTTTCTGCTATATATTTCCACACCAGTCAAGTTTTTAAAAAATGTTTTATTGGAGCTGGAAAGATGGCTCAGCAGCTAAGAGCACTGGCTACTCTTAAAGGCCACCCAAGTTTAATTCCCAGCACTCACATGGTGGCTCACAACTGTGTGTAACTCTAGTCCCAGGGGATCTAAAGCCCTCTTCTGAATTCCTTGGTCACCAGGCACACATGTGGCATAGAAACACACATGAAGACCAACCAGTCACCAACAGAAAGACCTACCTACCCATACAGATAAAATAAATTTTATAAATGTTTTCTTATATTTTCCTAAGATTGGACTTGACCATAACATTTGCTTGGCAGACTTTTCTACTGCTGTTGACTCAAAGCTAATGAGGTGAAGTCCAGAACAAATGTTTTTAAGGAGCCAACTGGCCAGTGCTGCTCTATAACCTCAGCTATAAACTGCGAAATAGCCCAGGCCCTCTCAGTGAGCCTGCTGCTGCTCTCTCCAGGCTAAGCTGCCCCTATAGACTGTATCTGGGACAGCTTATACCACATCCTTCCTTTCATAAATTAAACCTGAATTAGTTACTGCACTCAAGTCACACAAACAGGAGGGAGACCACTCTTTTTCTGAGCAACACCTAAAGCCACCCGATGTATTCTTACCTCCCACAATGAGATATGTATTAGGGAAAAGGTTCTTTGCTTGCATCAGAGCCCGGGCATGACCAGAGTGAAACAAGTCAAATATTCCATCCGCATAAACTCTCACAGGCCGCTCACCTGGATCCAAATGAAAGAACTGGTCAAAAAGGACATTTACTCAACCCCTCACACCTGACACACACGACCGCCTCACTGTGGGACTCTCTCATTTCATTCTCCTTGATGGTCTCTGGGGTTGGGCCTGGTGACACAGACCTGTAACCACTCTAGAAGCTGGAGCAGGAAGATTACCAAGTTCAAGGCCAGCCTGGACTACAGAATTACTTCAAGGCCAGTCTGGACAATGCAGTGAGAACCTGTCTCACAGTCAAAAGAGGTATAGGTATACAACCCAACAGCAGAGGTCCTGCAAAAGGCCCTAAGGGCAATCTCCACAACTATGAAAATTAAAATAAAATAAATGCAAACATGAGCCATTTTACTATTATATAGTCTCAACAAACTAGTACACAAGAGTACCTGAACAACACAGGTATTCCTTAGTAAGGGCAGCAATTTCTGTTTCTGCAATCTGAATTAGACTGCAGTCCATGTTCTTTATATGGACTGAGTGCTTTTTCCTTAATACTACCTTAGAAGTGATATTAAATATATAGTCAATGAATACATATTCTGAACTATAAAATCCTCACCTTAAAAAAAGAACACTTTTGAATTATGTGTATGGAGGGGGTAGGTACATGTATGTGTAAGTAGTATCCCAGAGACATCTGGGTCCCTGGAGCTGGACTTATAGGTGGCTGTGAACTGCCCAATATGGGTGCTGGGAACTGAAGTCTGCTGTTCTGCAAGAGTAGTGCACACTCTTAACTACTAAGCTCCCAAGCCCTCACTTGAGATTTGTGATATTTCAAGTCATAAATGAAAATTTATTTCCTACATTATTTAATGATGGGGTGACATCCACAGAATACTGTAAGAAGGTAATATGAACCATCTTCCTCTGTTTATTATGTTCTGTATTTAAATAGAACATAATAAACTATTCTGACTGCTAGGACTCTCATTTTCAGCTTGCCTTGGTTATTAATAACTAACACTTCACTTTGAAAATCAACCCTTAAGGTGGGCAGTGGTGACTCAAGCCTTTAGTTCCAGCATTCAGGAGGCAGAGTCAGGTGGATCTCTGTGAGTTTGACGCCAGCCTGGTAACAGAGTGAGTTCCAGGACAGGCTCCAAAGCAATACAAAGAAACACTGTCTTGAGAAACAAACAAACAAACAAACAAAAAAATCAACCTTAGCCAGGAATGGTGGTGCATGTATTTAATTCCAGCACTTAGAAGTCAGAGCCAAGCAGATCTCTGAGTTCGAGATCAACCTAGTCTACATCACAAATTCTAGGACAGCCAGAGCTACACAGTGACAAAGCCACTGCTGTCTGATGGGACATTTCTCAGATACATGAAGTACTTGAAAATAAAATATAAACATTTTAGGATTTTTCATTATGGCTTTCATTTTTTCCATTAATTAGAATAAAAAAGAACTGTCTATTGAGTATTCTTAATATGTATATATATATATATATACACTAAGTATATATATATATATATATATATATATATATATATATATGCCACTATATAAAGCCAGGAAATTATCTCCCAAAGCATGAGACCAATTCCAAGGCTACTGACAATGTTCACTGTGCTCCAAATGAGAAATCCCAGCAGTCTAAGAAACCCTGCTTTATCACTGAGTTATACCTTTGTCCTGTAATATACTGAATATTATAGGACATATATTAATATTGACCTATACTATAAGGGTTAGTCAACTAGCTATTGTCAACTAGCTTCCTTCATCTTTAAGCCTAAATTTATTCATCTATAGTAAATAGTAAAAAGTAAAATAAAATATGAATCAGCTGGGCAGTGGTGCCACCCAGAACTTGGGAGGCAGAAACAGGAGGATAGAGGATATGAGTTCAAGACCAACCTGGTCTACAGAGTGAGTTCCAGACAGCCAGGGCTCAAAAACAAACAAACAAACAAACAAACATGTACAATCTTTTTTTTCCCTTTTAATTCTTGAACTAATGAAGAAACTAATAAAGGGCTATGATATGACTTTACTTGATCCTAAAAGGCAAAGGCTAGATAAACTGTGAGAGCTATGAACATATTTCAATATAGGCAGGGCAAAGCAAGGGGCTGGTGAGGAATCACTGTCTGGGGAGTGGAAAGCAGAATGTTACTGAGGGAAGCTGTTTGCCAGCATGGTAAAGTATCACTGGAACCTTTTCCCAACCAACCTCCACCTCCAGTCTTTGGTAACACAGGCCGGTATATTAACCAAGTGGCCATAAGGGGCCACTGTTGCACAGTTCTTGGGAGAAGTAAGCAAATAAACCACACCCTGATTGGCAACCGTCTCAGTTTACTAAGAGAAACCTCATGTCACCCTCTGGGTTATAAAGAAGGTGGCTACATTACTCTGGCTCAGTAAGTTAAACCAGGCTTCAATTAACTGTCTACACGGACACTCTCTCAAACATCAATCATGGAACCTCCTGCCTCTCCCAAATTTCCTTTCTCTGGGTTAAACACATTGCTGGCTTCACCATCTTCCAGTAGATGCCTGAAGGTGAGCTCATCTGTCCTATCATATCTTTACCTCTGACTAAAGACTTTTGTTCTGAATTACACAGACCCCCTGTTAAACTCCCTTAAGTTTCCTAGGGAAAACATTGGGGAGAGGAACAGGGAAGAAATACTTTTGTGTTGATTATTAGATTAGAATTCCCCAACCGATACAATAACCTTTCTTGTTTTAGTCCTTGTCCTACATTGACAAAAATATATTCTTATCTAATATAACATAGGAGATGGCAAGAGGAAGATGAAAGAGAAAAACAAAAGATCAAACCAGTTAGCCAACTTTACAGGAGAACTTGCTACAGTTTCTTACACCCAAACCCTAGGTGAGGTGCCTCAGGGGCTGAGTACTTGCTGCTCTCTCGACAACTAAAGGGTGGTTCCAAGCACCTGTGTGGCAACTTACAACCACCTGTAACTCCAGGTCTCAGGGATATGATGCCCTCTTCTGGCCTTCTCTGTCACCAGGCATATACATGGTGGACATACATACATACAGGCAAGATACTCATAAACATAAAAAACAAATTAATAAAAAATAAGATGCAGTAGTCTCATAAAAAACTTCCCACTGCTTAGCACTAATGCCTATAAAGAACAACAAAAACAAACAAGCAAACAAAACAAAACAAAAAGAACAAAATAACTCAGGTGGTGGTGGCATATGCCTTTAATCCCAGCACTCAGGAGATGGAGACAGGAGGATCTGTGAGTTTGAGGCCAGCCTCAGCCACAGAATGAGTTCCAGAACAGCCAGAGCTATACAGAGAAACCCTATCTCAAATAAACAAAACAAAACAAAAAAGCATGTATCTTTGTCTAAAGTCTTTAATTAATTAAGATCATCAGTGCTTATTTATTAGAAGATTCAAAACCTAGAAATATTATCACACATTGTTTTTTCTTTTGTCCTGTTATCACTAAACATTGACCTCAGGGTCTCAGGCATGCTAAGCCTAGGCACTTCCTCTCTGCTATACCCTTAGCACACTACTACATGTTTTCAGCTTTTTAATGTATCATGATGATATGTGGATACTAATAACAAACTGGATAATTGTGAACAGATCTGAGCAAAGTATGAATTCTAAATATGTGTCATTATATAATAAAAAGTTGTTAACTACAACAGGTTCCTGCATCTGAATGTGAAACATGAACTGTCTGCTGGCATTTTGAAATTTACCTCCAGGCTACTGAGATGGCTCAGGAGATAAAGGTACTTGCCACCAAGCCTGCTTATCTGAGTTCAATTCCCGAGACTCATGGTAGAAGGAGGAGACCAGCCACTGAAAGTTGCTCCCGACCTTAACATGTATACTGTGGCATGCACACCATGTACATACACACAAAATAGATATATGTAATTTAAAAAATTTAAGAGGCTACATAGTGAAAATCTGAACCATAAACAAATTAATTAAATTCACTTCATGAATCAGAAAAGTTGTGATCAACATGAGCTATCTCTAAATACTTTTTGCAGCCAGGGTTAACATCTATCTTTTCTTTTCTGCTACAATGGGGATCAAACCCTACCAATAAGTGACATTCCCAGTTTGATTTTTTTTGTTGTTGTTGTTTTGTTTTGTTTTCTGTTTCATGACAGGTATGCCAACAAGCCAGGAAACAAATGTATAGTAAGGAAAAATGCACAATTTTATAAGATGATGTTATCCTCTGCAACAGAACATTAAGGCAGACTAGCATGCTAAAGACTATAGCAAACAAAATAGTTAAGCCGTTACTTACAAGGAGTTCCTCTGCAGGCTTCTTCCATAGTTACCCTGACGTAGGGCTTACTAAAGTCAACTTCAATTTCATCAGAAAAAGGGGCTGGCTGCCGTAAGCCCTGAACAAGAACGTAACAGAACAGTAGTAAGTCAAATTCAATGATATACACTGAAGTACTCAAAATAAGAGCTTTAAAGGACGTCAATGATGTGACTAAACCTTTCTAACACTGAGAATGTAAAGGAAGAATTCCAAAGTGAAGAGTGACAGTTGCAACCTTCTTCAGGTTCAGTAAACCATGGCATGAAGAACAAATGTCTTTCTGTTGACTTTGGGGTAAAACCGAGAAGACTACCTGGGAACCTAAGCACAGCCCCAAGAAACTGGGTCTGGAATGATGGCTTCCCTGCAGCATGGTGGTGTAGCAAACCTTGGACCCTGTGACAAAACTGCCAGGGTTTCTAAGAAGATTTCATATTGCTTCAACTAGGGAACAGGAGGGCAAGCAGCTACTAAGTAAAACCATAGCTGCTTAACGCTTCATCCTCTATGTTTAAATGCTCCCTGTGAGGCAAGGAATGCTACAGCAGGACCCTCCGTTTATAGGAGGAAACAAGGGTCAGAGAGTTAGTTATGAGAACTATATGCACTAAGAGGCAAAGCTCAAACCAGAACACATGTGTGCTTATCTCTCTGTATGTGGCTTCACTTGGGAGGCTTTGTTCAATTTATTCCTAAGATTTTATTTCTCTCAGATGTTATATGAATGGAATCTTTAAAAAAATAAAAACAAAACTCTTTGGCTTGTTTCTTGCTAGTATACAGAGATGTAATTGATTTGCTTGTGTGACTTCAATGAATTTCTTATATTTCTTTGGCCCTGTAACTGTATAACTCGGCTACTAGGTTTGTTTGGTTTGAGAAAGGGTCTCTGCACTCCTCATCCTCCCGCCTCTACCTACTAGGTACTGGGATTACAGGTGTGTGCCACCATGCCTGGCTTCAGCTATTAGTATTAGTAACTGTCATGTTGTTTTGTTGATTCCTTAGGATTCTCTATATATGAGATAATATCATCTGTGAATAAATAAAATGTAATACAGTTCTCGTCTATCTGGATGTTTTATTTCTTTTTAGTACGGTGTATTGCCATTAGAACTTCTAGTGCAACACTGAGCAGAAGTAAAAAGATTATATAATATATACATATATTATATAAAGATCCAGGAGGTAGTGGTACACATCTTTAATCTCAGCCCTCAGGAGACAGAGGCAGGTGGATCTCTGTGAGTTTGAGGCCAGCCTGGTCTACAGAGTGAGCTCAAGAACAGGCCCCAAAGCCTGTTCTTGACAAGGGAAACCTTGTCTCAAGAAAGAAACATTCATTTGATTAGGCTTTTAAAATATATACATAATTTATTATTTTTTACTTTTGTGTTCATTGGTGTTTTACCTGCATGTGTATCTACATGAGGGCGTCAGAAGCCCTGGAACTGGGGTTACAGGCAGGTATGAGCTGCCATGTGGGTGCTGGGAATTGAACCTTGGTCCTCTGGAAGAGCAGTCAGTGCTCTCAACTGCTGAGCCATGTCTCCAGCCCCTCAAGGCTTTTTATTTATTTCATGTGTGTGGGTGTTTTGCCTGAATGCATGTCTGCGTGCTGCTTACATGCCTGGTGTTGGCAGAGGTCAGAAGAAGGCATCAGGTCTCCTGGAACTGACTTTACAGATGGTTGTGTGTGAGCCAGGTGAATGCTGGGAGTTGAACCAGTGCTCTTAACCACAGCCCCAATTTAAGTACACTTATACTTCTATGCTGGGCTACTTCATACCTACCCTTGGCTGCACATGGTCTATAGGCCATGGATTAGAAACACCTGTCAAGGCTCAATAACAAATTACTTCCCTCGCCTCTCAGTCAATGTCAATTTCTTCCTCTTTCTAGGTGGTACTTTTCACACTATATATGATTTGTTACTGTCTCCTTTTCTTGCCTTTGTTGTTATGTTACTGTTTTTGTTTTCGAAACAAAAACTGGCCATGAACTATACAACCCAGTTTCTTAAATCCTCCTGGCTCAGTCTTGATTGTTCAGATTATAAGCGTTTACCACAACTGGGTAAACAACCCTCATCTTTGCAATCTCATTAAAAGCATCTGGCAGCCAGGGGATCTCAATATATGTTGGCTAAAAAGGAATTGTGGAATCTTAGTCATAAGCAGAACCATGGCTTTTCCTCAATTTAGGTACTTTACACATTCATCATTCTTGCATACACATATATGTAACACATATATATTTGTGAATGACCCATATTCAGATAGGCTAAATTTTAAATTTTTATAAATAATTTTGTGATTTATTTATTTTTGGTTATATGAGACAGGGTTTCTCTGTGTAGCCCTGGCTATCCTAGAACTCACTCTGTAAGTCAGGCTGGTCTCAAACTCAGAGATCAGCCTACTTCTGCCTCCAGTGTGTGTTAACATGTCCAGCAATTTTTAAGTGTGTGTGTGTGTGTGTGTGTGTGTGTGTGTGTGTGTGTGTGTGTGTGTGTGCACTTGTGTTAGATCAAATTCAGAACCTGCTCTCTACTAGGCTGGCACTCTATCACTGAGGCACATTCCCCAGCTATCATAGTCCTTTTGATTTTTGCCTTTAGGAATACTCCTATCAGGAAACAGTCTAAATATACAGAGAAAACTGGACAATGTTATCCTCTCTCCTCTGCCCACTTCATGCTGACCCCCAACTTAGCCACATAACATTTGGTGACCTTTCTACATGGAAGGACAAGTGTTCTTATGGTGCTAAGGAGCTCTGAAAGAAGAGTTCACTCTATGCTTCCATCTTACACAGGGAAGACCCTGCTCGTCCTCAGCCCTGGTGTCTACAGCCACGCTGGCACACCGGAACTAAGTCATGTAATGCTGTCTGCCTGCCTCAGACATCAACAGGTAAGTGCAGAAGTAAATATGGTACGATACAGGATAAGGTATTATTTAGCAATGAGAAGTTAAGCAGTGAACATACCATATCATAGGTTAATCTTAAAGACATAGTCAGTGAAAAAGGCTAGCCACATAATGTGTGTTTGCATTTATCTATAATGTCTAAACTAGGTAGCACCAGACACAGAAACATTAGTGGTTCCCAAAAGCTGAGCAGAAGTGAGTGATTTGCTAGTAGTAGACACAAGGCTTCCTTGGGAGTAGTAAATATACTCTCCTGAAAAAACTGTCTGTGAATATACATAAAATTACTAAATTGCTGGTGTGAGGAATGTATATTATAGTTCAATAAAGCTGTTACAAGAGAAGGAAGATTGTTTTTTGCTAGAGTTCAAAAGAAGTTGAAAGTATAGGTGTACAGTGGTGATGACAAACTCTTTTCTTTAGCAGATGCTCTTCCCCATAGGGTCAGTCAGCATGCTGGGTGAGTGGAGTTTGGGCCATTAGCCAAGGCTAAAAAGCTGGTGTATACCTGGGAGATGGACATAGCAGATAACTGAATCCATGTAAATCATTTTACAGGGATATACGAAGCAAAGTCATTTAAAACAGTGGAACTCCTCCTCAAGCCTCCTCGAAGCTCATCTCTTTGCTCTGTTCCTTAGTATAGATACTGGAGCTATGTGGTTGAGTTGTCCCTATTCTAAGTGACACAGCTGAACTGGAGCCATCATCATCTCTTCAATCTGAATTCTCCGAGAAACTTTCAGAAATTAATAATGCCCTAGTTTTTTGTGATGTTTTGTTTCTTTAGACAGGATACCATTATGTAGTGTTTGCTAGCCTCCTCTCTAGAAGTAGACCAGGCTGAAATAGAACTCAGAGATCTCTGCCTGTCTGCCTGCCTGCCAAGTACTGGAGTTTGCGGAACAAATACAGCTAGCACAATGCCCCATTCTGTTGATTACTGCACCATCTTCTGAGTTTTCTATGGTATGTAGAATCATACTCCCTAAAAATGTCCTTATTCTATGGAAGCTGTGACAATGTTGCCTTATTTGGCAAAAGGGGCTCTAGAAAAATTATTGTAGACAATATGAATATGACAAATGCAATCACAAAAATCTTTTTTTTTTTTTTTTTTTTTTTGGTTTGTTTGTTTTGTTTTGTTTTGTTTTTTGTTTTTTGAGACAGGGTTTCTCTGTGGCTTTGGAGCCTGTCCTGGAACTAGCTCTGTAGACCAGGCTGGCCAAGAGAAGTAATGAAACACAGAAGCATTTGAAACACAGATTTCAGAATAATGTAGTGATTCAGTAGCAATTTCAATCATCTCCAAGTCTTTTGACGTGTTTCCGTGTTTCTTAGGTGAAGCTTTAAGAAGGTACCAAGTTGAGACAAGACAGGAAGTTTAAAATGGTGTTGTTCGAGTAAGGCGTGGCAGTAGTCTAGGAAAAACATCCATGTCACAGAGATGGAGGTGTGCAAAGGGACAGAGGGGTATACCCAGAAGTGAAATAGGAAATGACACAGGACACTGACACTGTGAGATGACACTCGGAAACTGAAGCTTTGCTACTTTGTTACTTAAATTTTACTTTTAGCCTAATGCTTGCACATCCTCCAAGTTTTCCTAACCATATTTCTCAGTTCCCATGTAAGGGTCCTATGCCCGAGCTGTAATTCACAATATGTCAGGAAAGCATAACAGCCTTTACCATCCATGCTATCTGCTCTTCCTGTTATTTAAGAACACTCACAGCAGTGTCAGTGTCCCATTGCTCTCTACCCCACCAGTGTGTCCACTCACAGCTCCACTTACGACTGAACAGTGCTGCACTTTCGCAGGAATGCCATCTTCCTCTGTCGCTCCATTAGGGCCGGATGCCTCTTTCCTCCTCTTCCTCGAATTGACTTTAGCTGAACTCTGTGCATCCATCTTCTTTTAACTGGTCAAAAAAAGAGAGAGAGAAATGCTTGAACCAGTATTCCAGAGATACAAATACAACAAAACAGTGATTACAAGAGCATACATTTCACCAAGATGAGCCAATGGCAAAAAAGAGGATGTGCAAACACCACTGCGGAACAATGGCCACAGTTCATCCCTTGGCCTTGAAACTTGCTCCCCAGCACACTGCCCACACACCCCCATTCCATATCTTGACTGTGTGAAGACTGGAGTAACACTTGGCTGAGGAAGACTCTTACCCAATTGAACTAGCTGAAATACTTGTGATCAGCGGTATCAGATTTCAGGGTTTTTGGATTTGGGAATATGTGCTTAGACTTTACTGACTAACCTGAAATACAAAATGTCATGAAATCTAAAGTATTTTTAGCAGACTTGGAATGGTCAACTGGCTGGCCTAGAACCCAACATATAGACCAGCATGGCCTCACACCTGTGATGCTCCTGCTGCCTCCACCTTCCAAATGCTAGAATTACAGGCATGCATCACCACCCCCAGCTTATCACTACTCTTTTTATCTATCACAGAAACACAGCAGGTGCAATATGAAAAGTTGTCTTTGGTAAAATACTTTTGCCTCAGCTTCTGGCATTGGGTGACAATTGTGAGTCACCATGCCATTTCACCTTCTTTCAGGGTCACTACCTCAAGCTGGGTCAGAATTCCCAGCTAATAAACAAATGGGAACTCTTTCTCTAAAAGAAAACCTACTTTTCTGTCTGTTTAGCAGAGAGTATGTGGTACCTCCCTATCCTAAGAGTCAGAACCACCTGTTTAGATGTGGGCTTATGCCACCTCTCTAGTCCCAGCAGGAATATTTGCATTACAATTTTTACTACATTTATTCGTGTGTGTGTGTGTGTGTGTGTGTGTGTGTGTGTGTGTGTGTGTGTGTACACATATATGTGGAGGAGGGAGGAGGTCAAAGGACAAGTTGTGAAAGCTAGCTCTCTCTACCACGAGTCAGGTTGTCACATCTGGTGACAAGTGCCTTTACCCAATGAACCACCCTGCTAGTCCAATATTTTTATTTTTCTTGTGTAATACAATCTGCATGAGGCAACTAATTTCTTTTTAATGATGAATTGTTAGGCATCATCCAGAACCTGAGGATAGAGGAAGCTCTATGATCAAATGTCACTTCTGCCTAAGATAATGAATGGCACAGTGGAAAATCTGCTGAATAAAGGAAGAAAACAAAAGCCAGACAGAATGAGGCTGCTTTGCCTGGATGCCTCTTGAATGAGATGTCCTTCTGAACAGCCACAGCTGTGCTTCACATTCTATCCTCCAGCTCAAGTCCATGTGGCCACATCTACAAGAAACCTGGCCTGATTCTTAAGAGGCTGAAGGTGACGCCCTGTGAGTCATGGCTAGGCAGTAACCTGACACAGAGAGATAGCAGTCTAGAGTGACAGGAACACCGCCCAGAAACTGCCTTTCATTACAAACAAATGGGCATGGGAGAAGGTGAAGCGCCAGTGACACTAAGGGCACCTAGTTAGCAATCACTCTTCTAAATATGCACTCATCTGAGAGGCTTGCTAAGAATGATGTCAGGCCGGTTTCTAACTTGCTCATCCCAGGGCTCTTCTATAAGCATCTGCTCAAGTCCTCAACTAAGCTTTCCCTTTTCCCTGGAGACTGAATTTGTGTCAGGTTGATACACACTAACCAGCACACACATAAAACATCTAAGTATGCCAGGATTAGTGATACAGCCCTGTAATGTCAATACTTGGTTGCAAAGACTGAAGAATGATGAGTTCAAGGCCAGCCTGGCCTATATAGCAAGTTCCATGTCAGTCTGAGTTACACAACAAGGCCTTGTCTCACAAAAGTAAAGGCCGAAATGTAGCTCAGTGGTAGACTTGCCTACCATGCAAAGGCACTTGGTTCAATTTCCAGCATCACAAACAATCATGGTGTATCCACAGCTATTATTATTAGCCAATTAAAATAAAATGCAGGCTGGTGAGATGACAAGTCTGATGACCCAGGTTCAATGTCTAGTACCTACACCATGGAAGGAGACAATTGGCTCCTGCACGTTGTCCTTTGACCTCCACACATGCACATACCTTCCATAAGTAAATTAAAAAGCAAAGAAATGAATAAATGTTAACAAAATTAAATGCAGGTAGCCATTATTTGAAGGAGACTTCAATTGATACATAGAAGCCACATGCAGGATTCTACCTTCACAATGTTTGATAAAGGATTCCAAACTCATCACTTGACAGTTTGCTGAGTTTTGACACAGCGTCAAATATGTCTCCACAGATTATTTGTTACAAATGGAAAAGGGTTACCTTGATAGCAGTGGGGAGGGGGTGTCACTCTACAAAACCACCCATATCATGCCTACTATGAGGTACTGAGGACATACCAGCCACAGGGGTGTGTCAGGAGGAAGCAAACAAACACAATGCCACTGAAGGCCATCCCACAAGGAGCCCAATCTTCAAACACTGCTGGTCATGAAAACTAATGAAAGGCTGAGAACTAATCTTCCAGAACTAGGTGATCATGCTGTCACATACTACTTGATTTTAGGTGCCAACACTGAAGTCCCCTGAAACAAAGTCATGATCTACAACTTATGTACAAGGAGAAAGAGGAAGAAGAAAGAAAATATTACATTTGACAATGGCAAAAGACTTGCAACATATGAATCTAGGTGAGGCATATGGGAGTTTATCTTTATGAGCCTGAACTTTGCGATAGGCCTTCCTTTTTGTTTCGTTTTGTTTTCCTCAACACAAATCTAGGAAGGGAAAACAAGGAAAAGGTGTATAATATATATTAAAAAACAAGGCTGAAGTGTAAACAGTGGTAAAGCACTTGCCTACCAGTCACAAGGCCCAGCTGGATCACCAACGTGAAAAAACAGCAAAGTATGCTTTAGATTCAGCACAAAGAAGTTCATCTCAGTATTCCTGCAACTTTCCTATAGGCTTTCCTTTCTTTTCAAAATAAAATGTTTTATTTTAAAAATCTCTACAGCTTTCTGCACAGATCAACTCTCATATGAGATCTCTGGAGTTCCTTCTCAGTTCCAACTTGTTGACTCCTAACATGTGCTGCATAACGAATGTTCATGTGCTATATCACATATGTACATAGCACTGCTATATAATGCACGCTATATTTTTACAACTCTATTGAGGTATAGACATACATTAAACTGCACAATGGGGATGGAAGATGGCTCAGTGATAAGAAGGTAGACTGCTCTTCCAGAGGACCCCAGTTCAATGCCCAGGACCCATAGAAGGCAGTCAACTCCAGCTCCAGAGGGATCCTGCGCCTCTTTCACACTATACCCACATGTACCCACCTACCTACCCACAAATACATATGTAATTAAAATAATAAAAATAATTTAAAATTAAAATGGATTTTAAAAAATATAACTGCATCTGTGTGGTGGTAGCATACACCTTTAGTCTCAGAACTCAGGAGGCAGAAGCAGGTGGATCTCTGTGAGTTCAAGGCCAGCCTGACCCACAGAGTGAATTCCAGGATAGTCAGGGCTGTTACACAAGAAACTCTGTCCCCAAAAACATTACATGAGATATATATATACACACACATACATATATACATATATGTATGTATACATACATACATACGTACATATACATACATATTGATGCAAGGTTGGGTGTGGTGGTGCACACCTTTAATGGAAGTATATGGGAGGCAAAGGCAGGTGGCAACAGGCAATCTCTTGAGTTTGAGCTCAGCCTTTGAGTTCCAGGACAACCAGTAGTACATAGAGAGTTTTGTGTCAAAAAACGAACATGATAGACAGACAGACAGACAGACAGAATGACTGACTGACTGACTGACTCTGTCCCACAGACCCACTTTAATACCTACTGAGGGGCAGAGCCCCCAGAATGCTCCCGTTAAACTCCATCTCTTAAAGGTCCCATCATACTCACACAATATGGACCAAACAGACCTAACATATTCAGAATGCAACTGTCTGGAGGATTTACTGACAGAAGTATGGTCATAAGCAGTATGAAAACCAGTTAGATCCCGAAATTTGGGTAAAGGGAGTGGGAATTATTTATGGGTCAGGACAAAAATTACTATCATGGCTGGAATTACCTGCTTCAACAAGACAAGAGTTTCTCTGTATAGCTAGCTTTGAGCCTATCCTGGAACTAGCTCTGTAGACCAGGTTGGCCTTGGACTCACAAAGATCCGCTTGCCTTCTCTGCCTCCTGAGTGCTGGGATTAAAGGCATGTGCCACCAATGCCCGGCTAGTGCTTTATCTTAAGATAATACTAAAGAAACAAGAACATCCCTGGACCGGGAGTCCTATGGTAATCCCTACCATTTAACTCCTGTGATTTTATCTTTTTATGGTTTGCTGGGGAAATATACGAAAAATAGCTATGGTTATTTAGAAGCAATCATGGTGGCTACAACTCAAGACCGCAGTCATATCTCTCCACCCTTATTATCACTGCAGTCTTGTCAGTCCACGTCCTTATCACCTCATAACGCAGAAGTGCTTTCATTCCACCCCACAGCCGCCATCATAACAAGTTCCAGTGTCATTCAAAAGTCCAAAGGCTCGTCAGAACTCATGGCAGCTACTTCTACTTGTGATTCTGTACCTCCAAGATGAAATGGTAGGTCAAGGCTGGAGAGATATTCCTATCTAAAAGGCAGCTAGAGATAAGTAGAAAGGATCAGTCCAAGGCCAGTCTGAAACCCAGCAAGGAAAGCGCAAGAACACTAACTGAAGTAACTCAAGCCTAGCATCTTTCTCATGTTTGCTGAGGAGTCCCCGACACTGCTGCTTATCACCCAGGGCTGGTTCTCCAAGCTGCCCCAAGCTCTGCCTAGCATGCACTTTGCACTGCTGATAGCTCTACCTTTCTAGGGTCCCAAATACTGCTCAACATGCCTGGCCACACAGAAATGGGCTATCTGAAAAGGTTCCTACCCTGTG